GGTCAGGACATGTAGGAAAGAAGTTATTATTTTTAAAATCTTACTCATAGGGAGTAGAAACTGGTCGGCCACGTTCAGCTTTAAACTCCCATGGGGTAATTGGTCCTCTCAAGATCATGTCAGCATCAAGAATAACTATAAACTCTGCATCAATATTTGCATGATTAAGCCAATGAACAACAGCAGCTGGTTTGTTAATTGCTGGGTACCTGGCATGGAATAAACCAAAAGAAGTATTTACTCTCTCCATTCTACCTTATCAGATATAATATACTGCTAGAATTAGGGAGGCCTGGAAAGGTATATGTTTAGCAAACATTGCCCAAGTTATAAAGCACATAATCTGCTTCTCATTTTTTTCTGGATGAATTTGCCACTCGCAAGATAGAAACTTCACACTTGCTCTTCGTTATCTATAACCATTGGAATCCAAGAGACGACATACAACAAAATACTGCTAATCTAGGTTTATGTAGCATGACATGGGACAATTCTACTGGAGAAATTTGGTAAGCAGTTGGGTACTTTGCCTATTACATAGAAAACAATGATCAGACTTAAAACCATTCACACAAGATCTCTATCCTTAACAGAAAATGATATAATCTTAGAATCAAGTGATGGGCTTTTGCAGTCAATTCCTCAAATGACAAGATACAAGACTTGTCCTGAGCAGATTAGAGCTTCTAAAACTAACAAAGTAACAAAGAATATTGTCACAGGGTTTAGACCGTCACTAATTACCCTTTTTCCCAAAGCATAATAATCTAGTCATCACACGACCTCTGGTAACCCAAAATAGTAGTGACAGAGAGGAAGCACTAGAAAAGACAGTACATAACCAAAGATAATACGTATCAAGAAGGTAGAATTACCAGTCGCCTGTTAGTGGATGTTCACTCATTGAAGGGACGTAGTGAGTAGGTGCTAGGTCATGACCTTTATAATGTCTTAATTGTTCATCTGTGCAGCTGAGAAGCCTTGTAATGTTTCCAGGCTGGCCACTTTCATGGAAACTGTGCATAAGTCCTACAGTCTGCCAGTCAAAGTATGGTGTACATTCTGTGGAAAATAGGGTGTGGATTTTTGGATATGGTCTGCTGGGTTCATCAGCCACCTTCTGATTTTCAGTCTCCCTTGTTTGTATACTATAGGGAGTTAGCAATTTTGGCCTAGTAAGCTCGGCAAAAGTCTTGCTCTTCAAAAAGCTTAAATATCTTGACCACTTTGGCTTAGGGCATCCATTTGCAGTGTGTTGTAAAAGAAGACCCTCATTCAAAGTATTAATACACTCAATGCTTAAAAATAAAGCCCGCCTGTCATTTGGATCAGATTCCATTGACATCACCTGTTAAGATATTAAGTTAATCAGCCATGTAAAGTTCAGGTGCAACTTATCATGAATGTAACTCCAGCATGAATAAATGAAAAACAAACTAATATATAGCATTGGCCATAGTAAACAAAGAACAATGCTTAATTAATTTGAAAAAAGAGAGGTCACAAAAAAGGGAATATGTCTGGAAAGAAATGAGTAGGCTTCTGCTCTGCTTAAGACAATGCAGAATTCCCTGCCATAAGTAATGATTAATTATTTGAAGTTAATAGATTTCACTTACTTCTTTAGGATATGGAGGTTCAGGAAAAAGCCGGTTACAGTCATAAACAATATCATCTTCATGGTGATTTAATTTATTGAAAGACCAATTTCCAACAGTAAATGGCAAGCCATAATGAAGAAGAATAGGTTCAACGCCCTCTCGTGGAATATAGCCTGGGTAGATCATCAAGTTATCATTGATCTTGTGTCGAAGTCCAACCTAGAAAAGGAAATATAACCAAAACAAAAGTTAAATATAAAATTATAAAAATCAAGCAGAATAGCCTAGTTTTTTATGGAAAAAATAAACAGTAACTCACCTCTGCTGCTCCAAATGAATAACCATACATCTCACTAATCCACCCTTTTCCATAGATGTCACCTGTTATGTTGGTTGCCCAATGTGCTTTATCTTCACGGACTTCTTCAGTCTTGGAAAGCCAAAATGGTGCTAGAGCTCGAAGATCATCCATGTGCATGGCTAAAAGCCCACCAACCTTGTCACAGAGCTCTGGGTGCATTGTGTGCAATTTGGCCAGGATATTGTCACATCCAACCAAGTAACTGAAGGAGAAATTCGTTATGATATATACAAGATGCAAGCAGAAAGTGTGCTGAATGCAAAATTTAAGCAGTATATCCAGTTTGTAATTATACATACTATTAGCAACTCCCAAACAATAATGATCACATGAGAGGGCAAAACTCTCATTCATTCCTGTTACATCATCTGAAGGCCTAAAGGAAACCCACTCCAGTTCTGAATTCTCCTAGGTTCATATTCTTCTCAGTGGTGTCTTTGACTAAATACATAGAAGGCGTTCCCTTTCAAACATTGATTAATTTTAAATGTTATGGGTTATTACTTAACCACCCGTGGTCTCATTTTGAAGTGCAAATGCAAAAGTTATAGCACTGGGCAGATGGTAGGGCACATGAAAGCTCTTTTTCTGTAGCAGCTGACTTCAGAGGTTAGTGTTACTAAACCTAAAACATCTTTCTAAGCTTCATGCAGTTTTTCCCAAGATCAGCTAGGATACAGAACAAAATAAAAATGAAATAAAAGTACCCATATAATGCAGCAAAAGGTCTGCCTTTCTCTGCTCCAAGTTCCCAAGGTATAATTGGACCTCGAATGATCATGTCTGCATCCAAAATCACAACCCAATCAACGTTCTCTGCATCTTTACTATGTTTGAGCCAGTGGACAATTCCAGCAGGTTTGTTAATTGCAGGATACCTGCAAAACCAAGAAACAAAGTTTTCACATTCCCAAAGGAAAATAAACTTCCACAAGCTCCAGCAATCCCTAAAACATTAACTAAAATGCAAGCTTCATAAAGACAAAGCAGACAACCAGCAACAAATTTTTTTAAAAAAAAAAAACTAAAGAAGCTAAAAATCCAAAAACAAAACCAAAATTTTAATCAAAATCGAGAATTTACCAGTCCCCAGTTCTTGGATGTCTGCTCATGGATGGCACCTCAAGGGTCGGAGCCAATTTCATCCCTCTATAGGTCTTTTTCTCCTCGTCCGTACAGCTTAGCAGTCGGGTCACCTTCCCGGGCTGTTGGGCCTTCTTGAAGCTTCGCATGAATCCAACCGTCTGCCAATCGAAGTAGTTCTGGCACTCGACTGAGAACAGCGTGTGGATCCTGAACGGAGCCTCCATCCCCAGTTTCCGACCCCATCCAAATTCAATCCAGAAACCCAGCAGCCACACCACCAAAACCAAGAATTTCGCCATTGAAGCTCAAATTCAAGGCTTGATCGCAAATGGATAGTCCCCAGAAGATCTAGATTTCATGAGTCTAGTGTCATTGCGAGAAAGTCAAATACCAAACAACAACTCCATTTGTCCCCACAATGTGCTGCGTTACCGACAGCGGTGACAGCCGCCAACCTCAGCATTTTCCCACATTTTTTTTTT